CATGGCATTCACCATCACCGTAATCATTACAATTATTATCTGTTTGAGATCGAGTTTTTTTTGTGTTGCGTCTCTAATCATAATAGTTAGAAGAGACGTTTTTAATGACATGACTGACAACGCAGAACAATTTATTCAATTATTTTCATTATTTATCTAAGATTTAATTGAATCATTGAAAATGTTAGAATCAAAATTATTTTCAGTTACCATCTTCCATAGTTCTACCTAATGTTACAGATGATTTGCAGCTATTGAACTTGTGTATGTGTACCATGAGCTGCTTAAGAAGATCGATAGCAATTAGTTTGGCTTTCAGCTCTAAAGATTTGCTCAACGAATGATTCATCTTTCAAAAATGAAAAATAAGAAAAAATATTGATCATAATTACTATTAGAAATCAATCAGCTATTTGAGTGAAAAAATGGGTGAACAAACATAGACAAACATACTAAGATCTGGAATAAAATAATGAAGATGAGATGAGTAGAAGGCAAGAAGATACATGACAGTGAGTTGGCTACATCATCTATGAAGGCATTCATCATTATTCGATATCTGTTGTCATCTTTCAGGCAGCTATTTTGGTTTCATTTAAAATACTTTTTAGTTTTATGAACAAAGATCTTTTGGGCATGCAGCAAGTTTTAGAATCTATCTATCTTAACACCAAAAAATACTTCTTACCATAAAACATAGCTCAACTAGTTATAAAAAAATGAAAAAATTATTTACTAACTTGACAAATAATCTGTTTAGCATAGAATTTGCCAAGAGATATAACATCTTCAACTCATCATTTTGATTCTTTAAAAGTTTCAATAAAAGTTAAAAATATAAATTGAATCAAATAGTTTGAGCTTAAGAAATAAGGAAGACATGTTGCAGACCATATAAAAACCTCAATTAATTTAGAAATCTTCTAGCTCAAACACGTGTTTAACATTTTTTTGGAATTTTAAAAAACCAGTTATGCAGGAAATTTTAATCTTAAACTCACCTTAAAGAGTTTTAATTTCAAATTGTCAATGATGTTAATCTATAAAACGTTATTAATACCTCATCATCAAACCATTACTTATGATGATAGCAAGCAAGATTGTAAGATAAAATAAATAGAAAATAATACCAAAATGTTTACCCCAAGAAGGTCAGACTCAGTTTCTAAATTTTTTCTCGCTATTAAGGCTGCCTGTCTGGCCGTTTTTTTAACTGCTGATGATGTAATTGTTGCCTTAGACAATGTTTTCAATGATGACGATGATGACGGTGATAGTAATGGTGGTTGGAGAGATTGCAAGATAAAACAGATAAGAGCAGTAAAGATTGACATTTTGTGACCATCCTTTAATCTGTTCATTTTTTCATTTTACACATTCATTAGTTAAACATTAATGTTTTAACGTAATCATATTATATATACAATGTCTATAGTCTCCATTAATTTGCTAATTATTAATTTAAATGCATAATCGTTTCCTGTGGTTTAACTTAATGTTTCAATAATTCAATGCATGTTAACATTTCATATTTATAATAAACAGTAACAAAAAATTTCCAATTTATTTTATGAAAAGACTTAATACTGAATAAAAACTAAATCAACGCAAAGACTAACAGGTAGATAGTATCAACATTGTGCAAGCTGTGAATGTTATCAATGTATCTAAAGACATCCTCTATGATAGATTCTCTAGCATGATGGCATTTCCTGAAGAGCTAATTTCAAATTAAATTTCAAAATCAAATTAAATTGTAAAACTGAAAAATAAAGTAGAAGAAAAAGTGTATATTTGAACATTAAATCTTTTAATTAACATGAAAAGTATTAAATCTACTATTTGAAAAATCAAATAAAATTTACCAAAATTAATACATCTAGGGTATTCTGATGTAGATTGATAGCATCTTTGTTCAAGAGAACAAGAAGAGATAATTTTTGTATCTATGAAAACAAAATTTAAATATAAATTCTTTAAAAAACTTTAAACTAAATCATGTTGGCAAAATTTTTTGTTCAAATCAAGTTAATTTAAAAAATGCTCCACTTATAGTCAAACCACAAACCTCATGGATGATGGCATCTGACAGAATAATTTCTTTTGTTAATTTATAAAGCTGGCCAAAGATGTCATTAAGTTGAGAAACAGCATGGAACAATCGCGAGCTGTTTGTCTTCAATAACTTTGGCTTTTTTAAATCTTTTTTGTATATAATTTGTGACAAATGATAATACTTAATGTTACCAGTTTTGCAACTGTGTTGCAATAATCTTTATAATAACTATCGCAATCAGTGTTATCAAATAACACCAAACCTTGTATTGAATCAGCAGCAGAGAAGAGTTGCAAGATGAACGACTTGATGAATGTGATTACAGTCTCTACCCCCTCCTCATCATAGGCATGCTTCAGTGTTTCACTGGACATCAATATGAGCAGACAAGTGCAGACGTTCAGAAGAAATGAACATCTAGATTGCATCTCCACTGAATGGATGCTCACGTCTTCATCTAGGGGATCCCACTGTAAATAATACTCAAAATTTCAATGCATGTAAATGAAAAGTATATTTTTAAGAATGAAAATCAACTATGGTTTTTGTGTTAATGTTAAACAAATTGGTCAATAAACTTCGTGAAATTCAAAACAGCAATGATGAATCAATCAATCAATCAAATCAATAAAAATTTAAAAAATACAAATCAATTTAATAATTCATTTTTCATTAACTACCTGAGGTTGCTTGAAATTTAGCAAATGTACAATTAAATGAAGAGTACACATGTGAAATAACAAAACATTCAAATGTGTATATGACATTGCAATTGAACCACATCAACATGCAGTTGTTTGCTTATTATGACAGCATTACAACGATGGGCAGTTTTATGATACCATCATTTAAATATATCATGTTGACATTATGCTGTAAGGGAACAAAAGTTGCATGATAAATATTAACACCTGTCTCAAGATTGTAACAAGATTTCCAATTAAATCCTTCACAACTGCTTCTTGAACCTATATAAATAAAAAAGATTTTGAAAAAATTAAGTGTGTTAAGCATGGCTGCATAAACTAAAGGTTTAATTAAATGGTTAATGATTTATTCAAACAATGGGATCTAATAAGATTCATTAGATTACAGTAAAATTAGCTGCTATTTAATTACCTCTTTTAAATTAGCATTCAGGTCAACAGTTTTGAGAACAAACAACAGCGTATCAACATGTTGACCCATTGATGAGTCATCTTGAGGATCACAATTTGATGCTTTTGATCAAATATAATAAATAAAATGAAGTGATGAAATGTTTGCTAAAGAGGCAAACAAATTTTTAAAACAATACAATTAGTTATAAAATAAATGACAAAAAAGTACATGGGCTCAAAGAAATCCAGTCCAAAAGTGAGGTGATAACTTCTTTTAACTGATGATGTTTGCTTCTTGAATCATCACAGTTGTCAGTTGGAAGAGCATCTACCTTGAAGCTTACACATTTCTGTTTGATAGACAGAACATCTTCTAAATCAACTAAAACAGTTGGGTATGTTTAGTTGAACGAGTTATGAAATTAATTAATAACAAAATTTTATTTATAAAAAAAAACATTAATTTTTTTGATAATCAAAAGCAATTAATTAAACATTAAACATCACCTATGTTCATCTGTTCAATAAAACTAAATGTTTTTTGATTTGAAAAATACTGGAGTTAAAAACTCCACTTAAAATTCAACAGTGATGACATTAAGTTCAACTTCAGTTATATTGTAGGGTACTGTAGCAATTGAATAGTAAATGAATTATTTCTCTTTTTGACAGTTTCTAAATTTCTATTGGACCCCATCATTTATTTATAGACCTCATATTTTAATCAAATTCTGAAATTCTAAATAACATCAGTGAACTTTTGACCTAATTTTTATACACATAAATTTTCAATTATGAAAATGAAAAACAAATTTGTATTTCTTCGTTAAAAACCCAACCATTTCATCATTAAAAAACTAACATTTGATATTAAGTTACCAATCAAACAGTAGGTTGCCTCTGTCTAATTACAGTTGTTACAACTTTTGTTGGTTATTTTATTATTAAAATTAAAATATTAGTAAAGTAAAGACATTTAGGGCAGGGGTGGGCAAACTTTTTGCTGTGAGGACCGCATTGAGAACTATTTTACCTTTGAAGGGTCGCATATGTACTCAAATAGCAAATTTTTTCGACCCAGGAGAGAATTTTTCAAGATTTGAGACCTCACGGGCGGCATAAAATAGTAGTTGTTTGCCCAACTCTGCATTAGAGATTAGATTATTAGTTGATTAGCATTAGGGTTTTAAGTTCATTTGAATTGAATAAATTAGAATAGACTATCAGACCGAAAATGCAGTTTGTATTAATTTTAAAAACATTTGTCTGTGCGCGATCGCATGAAATCTAGTTATAATTTTATTATAGTCAGTTTGTGCTGGAATTGCAGATGTCTGTCAGCGAATCTCAGAAAATCTCGTCGTATTAATTTTCAGTCAGTATCTTACCTTTGAATTCGATCTAATCAAACATCAAATTGGTTAAAGAAGTGTTAACAAGAAAAAAATTAAATAAAAAACATGAAATTCGTTTAAAATTAAACAAACCCCTTAAACTTCGCTTCATGTTGGCCTTCAATAACGCAGTCAAGACGCCTGCTTTTTAACTTAAAAAGATTGAAAGTTTAAGACCATGGATATATATTATATCATGTTTAAGACAAAGTTGTAAACTAAATTTAAGTATTTTTAAAATTAAAATAATCAAAATTAATTTATAGTCGCTGTAATATACTGATATAATTTTATTTAATGTCATTATTATTTTTAAACGTTTTTCACTTAATGATTTCCATCTATTACAATCGTAACTAGTGCAATTTTCAATTATGTTCTATTCTATGGCTTTGTTTACAATTGCCAATTATCACTCTTCTCGGACTGCTGTTCGGTATATAAATTATAATGAGTCAAGATAGGAAGCGCAAAAATAAAAATTATTATGTGCAGTCTAAAAAACCAAAAAATGAATTTAATTTAGATAGTGGAATGAAGGGATTCTTTATTACCTGCAACTACAAAGAAAGCCGTGCTGTTACCGAAGCTTACAAGATTTTGAACGAATATGCGGACAACATTTACGGGCCCACGGAAGTTGTTTTTTAATGTGTTTATTTTGTTTGTCATTTCAGTAACAAATATTCATTACTATGCTTTTTTGGTAGGACCAGAAATCAGTCAAAGATCAATTTGGAGAAGAGGACATCGACGCATCTCTTAGTAACCACGTCAACTCTTATAAAAATAAATCCCTTTGTGAAAGACGATTCCAGAATGTGTGCACCAAAACAAACAACTGTATATTCATAAAAACTAGTTTTGAAAATCCCAATGAAATCATTGAAAAAATTTTTAGCGATGCACAATTACGACTGGTACAATCGAGATTCGTATTACGATTTTTACCAGTCCTAGGCACCTGTCGAGTTGCCGAGGACAAACTGGAAAAACTGGCTGAAGATGTGATAGAAGATTATTCAAAATTAAACAAGATAGAAAGCAGTTTTAAATACTGCATCATACATAAGATTCGATGCAACAACAAATTGAATAAAGAGATCATCCTTTCCGTAATGAATAGAGCAGTTAAGAGGAAATTCCCAGACGCAAAAATAGATCTTAATGAACCAGACATAGTATTCAGCGTGGACATATTACTTAAAGTGTGTTGTCTTAGCGTTCTTAAAAAATTTAATGAATTTAAAAAATATAACTTATTCGAAATATCCAATGGCAAGAATGGCGCGCCAAAAATTAACGAGCCACATGGTAGTGTGGACGAACATGACGCACGTGTATGCCTGCAAACTTGATACATAAATATACGAATAATAAAATTGTTTTTGGTGTGTTTTATTTTATTTCTCGATTTCGGTTATATATTTTCCAGTTTTGTTTGAAAAATTCACTTTTGATCATGATGATCTTTTGATCTTCGGAACCATCTCCTGTTGACGTTGACAAACAATTTTAAGCGTAAGGCCATTTTGTACGGTGGTCACTTGTAAGAATCGCGTCTCTGCTTATTTTCTCGTTTTTCATTGAAGGTTAGCGGTTTGATTTTATGTGATACAGGGAGTTTGCGGTGTAAGAGGTGAGTGTGTATTTTATTGTTTTAAATCTTGGTAAAGTTCAGTGTGGACTGTTTTGTGGGTTTAAAGCTTGGCGTAGGCAACGATCTTGAGGCACCTAGCTTGCGTTATGGATTAATATATTAGTGTCCGTCATTATTTTTAACGACCAGTCAGTTAACGACATGTGTATTTTTTACTCCACAGAGGGCAGTGAGTACTACTAATATAAACAGGTCAAAAATTGAAAAAATTTCAGCGTATTTCTTTTTCCATAATTTTATAATCAAAGTATAAAAAATTGCTTTACAAATATTTGCTAAGATTTCATTGTTTTTTTACGCGCCTAAAGATCTGCTATGAGCGTCGGTTGGCAGTAATGCGGCTCTCAATCAATGTATTACTACTCATTGTCGCTGCTTGTAGTAGTAAATTCAAGTGCACCAACTTGTTTCGTTTTAACGTTTGAACGATTCGTT